AATATTAGGTACAGGTCCATACAGGACTAATTTCAAATTTAACTATATTTTAGAAGTATTTGTAATTGGGTTTTTTATCCATTTTTAGCCCACACCTACTTTTTAATTATTTATATATCCTACTAATATACAATCAACACTACAGAAAAGATACAGAAAGATAATAAAGATCTATCAAGTTATAAATATAAAACCCAAAAAAGGCAGACAGTAGAGAAGTGAAAGAGTTGAGAAACTACTAACGAAAGGCATAAAAGCCCCATAACACTGAATTTTCAAACAAATTAGGGCCACTAGCAGCCTAACAGAATCTGAAAGGTCAACAGGTCATCCAAGTTTAAAAAAAAAAAAAAAAAAAAAAAAGCTCAGAGAAGATAAGGCTCCAGATGCAAAATCCAATTCTGCTGTGTTCACAAACAAGAAGTTTGGGAAGACTCCTATGTCAGAAACCTTCTTCACAGGGGACAGACACAAGGATTTTTTTTCTGAAGTTAAAGCCGTGACAGAAGTGGTTACAGTTACACAGCGACACACACACACACACACACACACAAAATAAAAATCTCCAAAATCAAACAACCATCCCCCCTACCAAACAGCAGCACTCTGCCAAGTTCAGATGACATCCACTAAAGAAACTCAAGGATGAAACAACTGAAGCATTAAATGCGAGTGCATTGTGTTCATTTATAATATATTAGTACCAGAGGACCTGAAGATTACCAAGAGGATACTGCTTTGTAAAAAGATCCAAGAAGTATCTTGATTCACTGATCACATGAGGTGGTGATTTATCTTAGTGAAACCAGGACATCACATTAGCCTGGTATCTGTGTGGGTCAAAGCAGTGATCACACAGGAAAGTGTGATGCACAGGCAGCCAAGTCAAATAAACTTTTCTGAAGCGAAGTCACAGCTCAGTCATACTGCAGGTCTTTCTAGATTTCCAAAAGCCATTCAGTAAGGTCCCTTAGTAAAGGCTCTTAAAAAACTCTAATGTGTCTTGGGACAAATCAAAAGACCACACATGAATAATTGGTGAAAAGACAAAACAAAGGCTGGTATGTCTCCAATGGGAGCTCTGTAGAACTGTGTTCAAAAGCTTGTGCTCTTCAGCATGTTTGTTAAGGGTAAATAAAAGGATGATAACATTTGCTGATAACACCAAGCAATTCAGAGTAGCACAATCTGCAAACAAATGCAGGAGAAGTTCATAATGCTGTGTGGGCAGCAAAATGGCAGATAAAATTCACTGTAGATGTGCATATTTAATACACATGGTGAAAACAATTCTATTTTTAGACAGAGATGGACTCTGAGTTGGCCATTACCATGCAGGAATGAAAATTTGGCATAACGATGATAGAAAGCACTATGAAAATGCCAAATTGCTGCTCTGCAAAGGAGAAAAAGCAAAAACAACTGCTAGGAATTACTGGGAATAGAGCACAAGGCTGAAAACATCATGCCAGCATTTTAACTCCCAGCATAAGAGAACAGGAAGGAAAAGTAGAAATCAAGATGATAACATTTATGAAAGGCAACTGAGCACAAAGACACCACCTCCAGCTCAGGGAACCACAGAGCTATGAATTACTGGAAACTATGCGACTCTTCTGGGAGGCAACTGCCCTCCTCTTACACCTTTCTGCTATCAGTCAGCGCTGGAGACAGGATATCAGCAAGAAGGACCTCTGCCCTGACCTGCCTGTTTTTATCACGTCTTATCTCTTGTCTTTATTCATAGCTGGAAACTAAAAAATTACATTACAACTCTGAATAAAGACAGCAGATAGCAATGACAGCTTAGCTGATCCAAGCCAATGTGCACTGAAACCAGGAGAAGGAACCCACAGGAAATGGGTTTAATCCAGAAAACATTAAGACTGAAAGCTGACCTCTGAGGTCAGTGACATGTATCTTTGACTTCAGTGCAGTAGGATGGTGCCTACAGTTATTCATGAACAACTAACAAATTCATAAATTGTTTCACATAAATGGAGGTAATTGTAATTTACCATCAGACATACTGAGAGCAGGGCAAAAAAAGCCCGCAACACATCCGTTATCAGCTAAAGCGCTGATAAAACAATGGGACCAATATGAGTTAAGTCACTTGTCACTGGCTGGTTATAGGAGATGCACATTAACATGGAACTTTTTATTATATGAATGGGCTACTAAAAATGACAGACCAATAATTTCAGTACTTCAAACTTTTTTCTTTAACTTATTATGAAGAAGTATGATGAACTTGGTTAGACAAAGCAAAAACGCAAAAGGAATCCAAACAGAAAAGAAAGAAGAGCACATTTACCCCAGCGCACGTCACAGAATGCTGTTATCTTCTAATGACACAGTTGTCACCTATGCAGGTATCCACACATTTGAAATCTCTGGCATCACACTATTAATTCCCTTTTTATACAAAAATGAGACGATACAATTTGTGATGCAAAAAAATCAGAGGTCAAGCAGTCTCCTTGCTGCCGCATGTAGTGAAAACAATAGCAAGCTCTTCTTCACTGCACACAGTTTAACTTAGTGGGTGTCAACCTAAGGCTCACACATACAACTACCACGTTTCAAATCCTAGGTACTATCTACTGATCATATTTAGGTTCAGCTAATAGGAGCATTTTTGTCCACATCCAGAGGGACAAAGTATCACCCTAAAACACTAACTATCAAAAAAATACAGAGGAGAGATGATTATTTCTTCTCAAAAGAAGACCAAAAGAAAAGATTCTGCAAGTTTATGGTAACCTGAAATCTAAGAAAGGAAACATCAGCTCCTTTTGGGGAAAGGAGTCTGTCTCAGTAAATGTTTAACACATCAGGCACATTAAGAGAAATGAAGCTACTTAAACAAAAACCATTCAGGAGGGAATCAGTATTATGAAATGCAGTCACTACTAGAAGAAAGTATGGACACAGGTATTTTAGAAAGCCTCCTTTAATCTTAAAACATTTCTAGTGAACCAATAAGAAAATTATCTAGAGGAAACAGGGAAAATTACTTGGGAAAAATAGTTCGGTATGATCCCCAGATACATTCAATTTTTCCTTGTCATTTTTGCTTCGGCAGAGCTCCATTGTGGTGCTCTCATGAGCAAGTCTCCTAGGAGCCCTAAGGGCAATAGCTTGTCCATCTGCAAAGCAGAAATGAGTCTGTCCTAAAGAACATTGTCAATAAGTAAGTGGAAGTCTCCGTGCAGCTGAAAGAACCTTGAGAGTGCAATTATCAGAGAGCACAGAAAACTTTTTCCATATGCTTTCAAACGATTTTCACAATTATGTGTCTTTGGTCATAGCCAAAACCCAAATTTGCTCCGTTACAAGGATCAACATTAGCATTGCCAGTGAAAAGTTAATGCAACACATTAAGAATACCAACCCCAAAAAGTGGATTTTATACAGCATGAAACAGTTCTACAGAGGAGATCTGAGTGATTTCCTTCCCTCTTTTGTATTGAACAGTCACACAGTAACAGTTAGCAGACTTGGAAAAGCATTCATCCTCTTTAGGTCTGAACTCGCACACAGAAAAAAGTCACTGCTGCATAAAATGAGACTGGAACTTCAGTTAAATGAACATGAAGTTTACTCTCGCAAACACTTCACATGCAGAAATGCGAAAATCTAACTAACTGGAGAGCAGCTTCCCATACCTTAAAACAGACTTTTCTGTATGTATTCAAATGTTTTCTGAATGTCATATTGTACACACATGTTGGACACTACAGCCGTGCAGATATACAATAAAAATCTATCATTTCTGTTTTACATAAAAGACAGTATGTTGATACTGGCAACAGAAAAATCAAGGTTAAGAGTTAGTTTTAAATTACTTCTTCCTTTCAACTGCTCACAACTATTTCCAAGGTAAGATTTTTAACTCCTGTCCCCTGTTAAAACTGAGTGTTTTAAGTTGAAACAGTGAGAAAAATAATTCCATTCTTTTTGGGTCAGTTGCTTATGAAATCAGTTTTACCATCTTTTTTTCTTGGATGCTGACTGAATATTATCTGAAGCAACATGCACATATGAGATTCCTTTCTGAAAAGTAGTTTTTGTATTGAGTATGAAAAACACATTTTGACTGTTCCAAACATAAGCAGTAAATGTTTAGCATGCAATACCATTCACGTACAATATGTAATAACCTTATTTTTGTCATGTAGTTACAAATGCTAGTCTACCAACTGTACAGTCATCATCATTTTTTCAATGAAGTCTGAAATTCCTAAATACAGCAGTATTTTTTTTTCTTTTAACAATCAAGTTCTTTTATTATTTTCCAAAACTCAGTTTACAAGATTTCCAGTCTACTTTTTACCTCCCTCGGTGGTTTCAGCAAAGATTAAGGACAATCAATTCTTTCCAAGCTCTCTCCTGGAGCTTGTGTCTGTTACATTTCCTGGCTCCTATGAAGCAATGTGAGACAAGACTTTGGTGAAAACTATCACCATAACATTTACATTTCCAAATACTGAGTTCAGTTCCTCAAAAATAGTCATTAACTCCATGGCATATGAGATTGAACTTCCTCATCCATCACATTCTCTTTTCCTCAGACATTCATACAACTGAGGAGGGCTTTAAAAAATATTACTGGATAGTTTTTCACCTCTCCCAAGCAACCATCCCTTCTTTTCTCTCTTTCACGCATCCCAATAGCATATTTCACTAGATACTCCAACTTTTGGACACGGTCAGGGTCATCTGACCCTTAATTTGGTCAACTCTGCTAGCTCTGTTAAGCATCTCTTTCACACTCATTCAAACCACAGCATAACATACAGCACCACATCCCAAATTAAAAAAAAAAAAAAAATTAAAAAATTGTTTTCCTTAGCTTCATCATTCAGGCAGACTTGTAGATCAGTTAAAGATTCATTAAAGATCAGATCAGATTATATTTAAGCTCAAGGACTACACATAATTTGATATTTAAAAGCCATACAAAACAATTCTACTGCTGTAACACAAAAACTTACCCACTTGGCAATTGGACACCCCTGAGAGCTTTTTCCTTCCTTTCCTGTATAAACCACTACCTCTATTCTTACAGCGCTTCCTTTTGCTCCATACCTGCATTAAAAAGAGCTCATAAGTAAAACAAATTGCTGTAGACCATTTTAAAACAGGAAAGTTGTTCAATAAAACAGAATAACATTTATTTTACTTTACTGAGAACAGTAGAAAAGCAAAATATTTATAATGTCAAAAAATTCTTTTAAATTTAAAATCTTATTTGCAAGAGTGATTTGTGACATCTCTCTCCTGATAACAAGCTTCTGCCACTAAGGAAACATTATTTGGAGAAGAAAATGTTATTCGCATGTCAATCCTAGTGCACTTAGTCACTAATGTGACCTTTCTGTCCAGTTTGCAACCGTTTCTTTGCATGCAGGACACTAGAAAACTCAATTCTGCCAGCTCCTGATCTCTGTCATTCCTATTGACTTCAACGGCACCTAAGAGCACGCTGCACTTGAAATTCAACCCTGAAGTTGCAAGAGCTCAGAACAGACGCATGAGTTTGGAACTGAAATGCTAGTGCTCACCTCACGCACATAGGAACAGAAATCTCTTTATAAATAAGTACTGCAAAAAGTTTAGAAAAACAAAGCTAAACATAGCACCCAATTTCTCATAGCTCTTCTTTCCTGTTTAGACCATCAAAAACACTGTGAACTTTAAATGCTGAATTTTCCTCACCTGTTCTCCATTATTTCTCTCACAGCAGCAACACTTGGTCCTGTCCCGAGGTGTGTGTAATATGGGCCTTCATCTTTCTCTATAATTTGCTCTGTAAGCAGGTTGAAAAAACTAAGTTGGCACAAACTTATTTACATCATTACAAGTAAACTTAGAAATAGTTTACAGAAACATCCTACAAATTATATTATAATACTTAAAATTTGTCCCCGAAATGTAATGAATAAAGAATATGACAGATTTTTCTCCTCAAAGGCATGAAAGCTATTTTATACTCGTTTCCTCCTATTAATCTGCTAGTAGTTTTCCCTTTATGTTATAAAGTAATCCTAATTATAGTAATATTTTGCATTTTTCACAAATTTTCATTACAGGAGCTGGCATGTATTGCCTAAGTAAGCTTCCCAATATCCTAGCTGGTAGGAAAACATGAATTCGTTTTAGACAAAAGAGAATCGAGGAGCAGGGGTGTGAAGTTAACTGCTAGTCGTGCACTACAGAACAGAAAACATAATCCAGGCCTCCTAACTAACACGCTGTTGATTTGGAACATTAAAGCAAAGATGAAACAATCTGCCTGTGTACAATTTGTTGTTAAATCTCCGACTTGTTTTTCCATCTGTACACTCTGATAGTCTGAAAACACAGCACGTCTAACACCATCAATCAAGCTGTATTTGCAAAGTCCTCAATACCGAGTTCGGGCTGACACCTCATCCTGCAGCGCAAACTATTACATGCACGGCCTCACCCGAACTCCACCCTACCTCTCCTCTCTGCCACGAGGGGTGCCTACTAGTCTTTGACACAGACTCTTCAAGGCAAACGGCCATTGGTCGTCAGGACCACCGCTGACAGTAACAAGACCACCCGCAACTATGCCCTGCCACTTACCTAACAGCATTTAGGCAATAATGACAATACACTGGGAAATTTTTACCCAGATCATCTCAGGCAAAAACTAGGTCTAGACATAAAAATCACAATCTGATATACTGCAGATAAATTCACACAGAGCACAAGTCAGCAGAAAAACTCCTTTTCCTCCTGGGTTAAATTTAAGTAGAGAATTTAAACCTGCCAGCTACAATACCAAAAATACTCAATTCTGCTGTGCTTTGCAGGCCCAAAGAACTCCAGACAAAAGTTACAGAAAGGGAAAAAACAATATCCCCCCATTTCCTAAAGGCGAAACACTCATCCTTTTGCAACAGCCAAGGAGAGTGTTAAGTACATTTCCTCACATTAAAGGCCGCAACATGAACACCCCTCCATCTGAAAGGTACAGGTGAAAGGTAGCAAAAAGACTTACCAACACAGTCACAAGATGGCAATTCAGATTGTCCTTTTTTTGTAGGTGTATCTATCAAATTTTTTGTAGGGGTATCGAGAAACTTCATAGGTGATTCAAGGAAACTGCTGAGCGTGTTTTTTGCCGGAGAACACCCTGAGTCGCCTGTGCTCTGTGGGTGGTCAGTACCCAAACTGGTTGATGTCAGAACGGTCACGTCGCCCGAACACTCCATATTCCTGAGAGTTTCAACAGCACCTGGTACCCAGGCCCCACCACAGGGAACGGGCAGCACCTGCGGCTTCAGAGCTGCTTGTTGTTCAACAGCGCCCTGCTGAATATAGGCTTTGTCTTCACTGCGCGTTTCGTTAGCTCTCAGGTTGGACTGATTAAAAGTTTGAGGCAAAGGATGCATCTGACTGACATTTGCTGTTTGCTGTACCTGAGAATTACATTTTTCTGTAAACATCTGTAAGTTTTCACTTGGTCTGTTCAATAAGGATGCTGTTTTGAACTGGGAGACAGCTAGAGGATGACGGGAGGACAGGTCGCTATACTGGTTACGTGCAACAACTTCATTTTTCAGTGGATCGATGCTTAGTGGGTCACTGCAGCCAGCAGTTTTGCTTTGCTCATTCACCACTTCACAGCTAAACAACCTGTCTTTTTTTTTCTCTTGCTGTACCTCAGGTAAACACCTATGGAATTTTATCTGCGTTTGCGGGAGAAACAATCTAGTTTTTTCTTGTGATGCTAAAGTATTTTGATTCAGTGCTCTCTGTACTTTGGTTCTTGGAGATTTTTTTTCAGACGGAGCTATTCTGGAGTCCTGTGGCATGGTCTGACCAAGCTTGTGCAGTTTTGATGATATCCAAATGTCCTGTAACTCACTACGCTGGCATGACAACAGCTCTAGCTGGTTTTGATTATTTTGTTGATAGCGTGCTTCTTGAGGCTTCTTTTTGTGTCTTGGTTTCCATGGTACAGCATTTCCTTTTTTATTTGTTGGTTGTTTTTGCTTTAATAGTAAGGAACCATAATTATGCCTAAAAAATACAGATTCTTTTTTCTGCAACCCATCCTGGGTATACTTTGGCTGCCTCTCGTGTGATATTAGATTAAGCAGTGATGCCTTTATGTCATTCTTCTGCTCTGGATTTGTCTGGTTTGATTCAATTAGCGCTGCAAGTTGAGTTAGTTGCGTAGCTACATCTTCTTCGTCCTGGCTGTGAATTCCTCCTTCTTTAATCAAAGAACCAGCTTCCAAGTTCAAATCTTTACAGGCTGGCTTTTGCTCTAACTGGCCAAGAGTTTCCAAGTTGTTACTTGTTTGCTGGACACTACGTGAAGCATTGCAATACTGTGCAAGGGTGACTGGATCATAATTTTTCTTGGTAGTATATCCTGTAAATGATTTTGCATTAGATGTTAAGTCAGATAAAGTTTTGGTATCTCTTGAGGATAACTGTAATTTATACATCTCGCCAGCCAGATTGGCAGGTTTATCATGCAATTCAGAAACTGAACTTTGGCCATTGTATAACACTGCCTTATTAGGGAGCTGCTTCTGCGAGTGAGCGCAGTGAGCCAAGAGCTGTTGCTCATTCTGTAAGTAAGTGTCTTTGATTTCTTTTAATGCAGAGGATGTGAAGGAGGAGGAGATATCCCTTTTGGAACTATGGAGCAAGGTAGAAGTTGTTTCTTCTGCACATTCGGTACTTTCAGTTTTAGCTGGTGAAGTTGTTTCTAAAGGGGCTTCGGATAACTGTGTTAAAGCTTCAATAGCTACAACCTGCTCTACAGTTAAATTTCTGTTTTTAATCAGGGACAAGAAAGTTGGCTGGAACAAAGAATCCTCATGCTGCGTCTCTGAGTTAGGTACTTTAAAGCCACCCTTCCCTACATGCACTTCCTCTTCAGGCAGTGGAGGAAAACGCGAGCTTTCTTGTAGATCCGAAACAGAACCTGCCTGCAAAACTGACTTATCAGAATCCTCAAAGATGCTGCAAGTGCAGTTTTCCTCTTTCACTAAAACATTTCCTTGTTTTTCTGGGTGAACGCAGCCAACGCCAGTCGTCAGAGTGTTTACTATGTTATTCAGATTGGTACCCTTCGTCCATTGCATACGGGAGGTGCCTGTCAAATCTGTCCTTTCCTCTATGGATACTTTTTTCAGCGAAGCAGCTGCTTCCGGTGGTGAATAATGTAGGGTTTTTATGCCATTTTTGATGGTCTGTGCAAATGGTTTTTTTGGCTCAGCTAACTGACTGGGAGAGACAGCTCTTTCACCGTCTTCAGTGTTTTTCAAGTGTTCGTTGCCTGTCACAGCTCCATGGATATCTCCATTGACATGGACACCAAAAGATGGCTTCTCGTTATGTGTCCACTTCTCTGCTTCTAAGCCTGTCATTCTTTCTTTCTCCTTAGACTGCACATTTTCAACCGGTACTGTTTGGTTTGTTTTCACCCTGTATTTTTCACCATGACCACATATACTGCATTCCATGAGTTCTGGTCTGCGGCCATTTACTGGTTTGTTTTCTAAATTTGCCTATAAAATAATAATAAAAAAAAACTTTGTAACAGCTGTTCAAAAGCATTAAAAATAAGAAGCATAAGGTTTACAGCAATTAAACCCTACTTCGACAGATATAAGAAATATCCTAATTAAATAGGCACAGACATTGGAAAAAAACCTAGAAAGTCATAAAATATCCTAAAGCCTAAAGACCCTATCTGTATTTATAGCTATTTTTCCCCACTGTTGGGGGGGCAGAGGAAGGAAGTGTATGTATGTGGTGGTGGGAGACTAAAGAAATGAACAAACAGATAAAGGACGTTAACATTTAGAATCAGATCTAAGGATTCAATTTTTAATGAATTTGCATAAGCAGATGAAAGCCTCCCTTGAGTTCAAAGCAGGACTGAAATCTAAAGGCTTGTACCACAGAAAGTTTAGCAGTAATTTAGTATAACGATACTGATTTGGCTAGACCAATAAACTGATGCAACACTTGGTTGGACATTCCAGCAGGAAGAGCTGCTTTTCAGGCTTAGTTTCAAGTCCTTAAAAACTGTCAAAACCTAAACTGAAATGGACAGTAAGCCAATTAAAATGAGCTCACCTGAAAGAGACCCTCTAAACACTGTGTTTAGTTTCTGTATTTAGATGGTAACTTCCAGGTTTCTGAACAGTCTCTCATTTAACATCTCCTTAACAGTATTTTAGTAAACCCTAAATTCTAATATTTGGTTAAAAAAAATTATTCACCTTCACTGATATTATAAATTTCATGTGGTTAAAGCAATGTCAAAATCTAGAGTCAGAATACCATGTCCTGGAAAGAATATGTATATGGGCCTCAAGATAATACTATGGATATGAAGTAAGAAGTTATGTAATTTAAATTAAAAAGAAAAAAAAAAGGTAGAAGCTCAGGCAGAAATAGCAATAAAGGCAGGAATCCAATTTATTGTACCCTAATCAAATTTTATTTCTATTTCTATTAAAATTACTTTTAAAAAAAATGTTAAGTCACAATAGACAGTGTTGGTACTTGACCTTATTGTAGCATCTAAGAGTTATTTAAATAATCTGTAGCCTTAAACCCTACTTGACAAGAAAACCAGTACTGCTTTTCAAATCAGATATAAGCAATACAACTGGTTAATTAATCATATGTCGGCACAGTACATCTTAGCAGTTCCCAGAAAACAGCACCCAGTTTAATACAAAACATTCAGTCAAATCAGACATGGGTTTGTGGTCATAACAACTAAAGTCCACAACAACATGGACTTCTCTGAGAAAATAATTCAGAAAAACAAATGCAAAATAGATTTATGATTAATTGTAATCATTGAGATGGAATTGCCAGAAACTCCCAAGCAAAACAAGGCACACGGACCCAGCTCCATCGGGAGCCCAGTGCTCACCTCACAACTGATTCCCGATCGAATAAAAACAAACCTGGGAATCCATAGCATGCCTTAGATATTATGAGAGGCATCATAAGTTCTCATGGAAATACTATATAAAAACATGTCCAGCACCTATGCAGCTATGTGAAACTTATGGAAATTACGTTAAGAAAGAAAGACACCTCGTTTAATGCTTTTCTGTTACACGCAGATGCTCACTAATGGCCTCTGAGCCTGAACTTGTCTGGATCCTGGTGACTTTCAATCGATGATCCACAGACCCAGGGGATCACCGAGCAATTTCTAAGGGATCCACAAACGCGGGTAGGCAGCTCTATTGCTAGCAGGGGTAAATGCATTACACAGGCCTCTGCAACCGTACCAGAAAGTATGTTAACGGTCCACCATGGAAAAGTAAAAACCCACAATTCTATGCCTGTGCAAAAGCTGAATTTCAATTACCTTAATTTAACTTCAGAAAGGACTAGGATATGAAATTGCTAGTTTTTCTTCAGCAAAAGCATATCTAAGATCTCTGTCAGTCCAAAAGTTGTCCCAACCATGTAAAATTGTCATTAAAAAGTATTTAGTTAGACAGTGAGGAGGCTGATTCGTTGCAGTAGATTAAAATAGATTCAAATAATGCCCCAGCATTTGTATGTTTTCAGCATGACAACATATTTTTGTATTCCTTTCATTTTTAGAGGGTGTCACTACATTAAAAAAAAAGTCTAAGTTTCGTATATTGAGAGTAATGAGAGATGGGAGGAAGAAGGAGGGTTCATCCATGATCAGCAGAGATTAAAAGATCTGACACAAAAACGATTGTCACCACTGACAGCACTCAAAGTGCAAAAATGTCATCACACTTCTCTCTGAACTATGTTGTTCCTCAATAAAATACTTTCATCTCCTCAATAAAATACTTTAATCTGACCAAAAAGCACTGCTACACTCAAAAATACTCAGGATATTCCCTAATCTGCACGGGTGCAGTGCTGTGTCCCCATAAGACCCCAGTGATCCCAGCAGCAAAGTGGGATTACTTTTAAAATAAAATTATTCCTCACACATCATAATTTCCACTAACATTACTGGAAGCTGCCCACATGCAATGAGGAAGAAAAAAGAACCAGATGAATCATATCATTGGCATGATTTGGTTCATATTTTATTTTTCCACACGAAAAACAAATATTATCATAAAATTGGATATACTTTTTTAAAAATCAAACTCTCTTCCTTTTGAGCACTATGTTGCTTTTTCTCTTCTGTTACTGAACTGCAATGAATCCTAAAAAATACCTTTTTCTTTCCTCTCTTACCAGGCTTTCCAGTGGCCTTTTCTATTTAATATGTGAAGTTACTGTTTCCCAACATAAAAATAAATGCAGTCGTACTATCAAGGGCAGAGCTTATTTGATTCTTCTCCTCAATGTAAGTCTGACAGACCAAAAGTAATAGCTCAGCAAAAACCCTATGAAGCTGAACAACCTAGGAGCAATCTATCTTCAAGTCATGAATAAGGACTCAAAAAAAAAAAAAAAGCAGTGAAAACTCTAGACAAGGATATCACAATTCCAAGCAACAGTCTTAAAATTCATGGAAGTTAAGCGCAGAAGGCTGATCTGATCGATTCCTAAATCTTTTACACAAGCATAATGAAAAGCTGAAGAATAAACCAGATCAATAAAAGTAATTTCCTCTCTTCCTCATTAAGGAGGGCACTACTCTATCTGGAGACATAAAACACCAACAAATCATGCTCAGGCTTAGACCCTGCAGTAGTTAGTGCTATTAGGACAGAAACCACAGAGCACAGTCTGCTGTAGCCACTGCTGTGTTACTTAAACTCAACCAGACATTATCTCTTATATACACATAAAAAAAAATCACTCCATGAGCTAATGCTTCCAGCACACATGAAAAGCCAGGTACAGCAAATCATTTCACCATTCTGAAAAGGATCAGTCTTTAATATTAACTGTTCTTTTAACACAAGACACATCTGAGGTAATACAAAGAGTTCACCAATTCACAATAAAAATACAATGCTAAAGCTACCCTAAAGACATTTCCACATCTTCTATACAACAGAGAGCAGGCCATAGGTTTATGTCTCTTGTTTCAAGCCTCTATAGGTGGTAACAACACATTATTTATTAAAGGACACAACCAGAAACAATTACTCTCATAAACAGATGATGCCCGGATCAACTACGGGTAAAATATCTCTATGACCAAGTTGCAACAAGTTACACGATGACCAATGCCAAGTCCACCTAACTAGCCCTCTCTATAAGATTCTGCCCACGTCCCCACAAAAAATACAGTACCCAACAGAAAAAATACTTGCACCTCCTAGTTTGTGCCAATAACCAAGATGACCCAAAAGACAGTTCTTCCAAGTCATAACATTCATCAACATAAAAGGATGAGTGGGTGAGAAGCAGTTGCACATTGCATCTCTTTTTCCATTGCAGTGCAATGGGTACGTTTGGATCCTGCTGCAGTGCCTGCAGCCACGTAGCCAGCCCCACATGCCCTTCCACGTTGGCACAGAGCTGGCAGCTCCTCAGAGCTCAAATACCACAACAGAAGTTTTCTTTCAGAAAAAGCGTTTGGAAAAAACCCCAGACGTACTTCATTTAACATCCAAACAGGGTGTTTTACTCGTGATCCAACTGTCAGATGTCACTGCTTCACCAAGAGGTAAGAAAGCACCAGTCAGCTGACCAGCAGCAATTTACTCCTGTGCAATCTATTCCTACTCTCTAGCATCTGCTCTCTAGGACCTGCACTGCACAGGACCAACATACAAGGGCTAAGGAGATAAGATATGGACAGGACAAGGGACAGGGAGACACAGAGCACAGGTGTGGAGAAATCGTTCCTTAGGCTGAGTGCTATGTAGAAAGCTCTGCTCTGGTTAGAGCAGAGACAAATGTAAGGTGGGATGCTGTGGAAAGGACAGGCCACCTTCTAAGTACAGCCAAGTATTTTTGCATTCCAAAATAAATGCAGATACAATAATACATTTAAGGATAAATTTCTATTTATTAGAAATTTACCACACTACTTCATGTTTAACTACTGTAATGCAGACAACAGCAACACGCTGTAAGATGCTGCCCAAGGCTGCAGGGTTTCTGATCAGGCTACTAACAGAGAGAGGACGGCTGAGGAGGGACCAAGCTACAAGTTGGGGCATACTCCCATGAACCTGACCAGAGGCATAAAGCAATTGCCACCACACTTGCGTAATAACCATGGACATGAAACGGCAGCTCCAGTAAGGCACATTTTCATGCAGAGAAACAGCCTGGGGCCCTTTGTTAGTGTAACACAGCCTGCACATACAAGACGTTTTGTTGCTCAAGAGAACAACGTTCACAGATGGCAATGACGGACAGGACATGTAACAATTCTGTGTTTTAGACACTACTGCAACCAGAGTAAATAATCTCTATTCTTGGCAAAATGTAGCCAAGTTTTAGCAGAGAGGCTGGGTTATACAGAAACTCAGGGGAACAAGAAGTTCTGCAAAACAAGAGAGAGCAACCCAACACGGGACACACAGCAGAGATTGCTCAGGCCACCTGAGCTTTCCCGGAGAGATCCCAC